CCTTCCACGTCTGCGTCACTTTTCTCTGTCGGCTTAGGTGAAGGCACAGAGTAGGCTGGCATCTAGAAGTGCAGTGTGGGAAGCCAGAGAGAGCGCCTTCAAAGAAGTCCTGGCAGCTCATCCCCGTCTGGTCCACAGGGGCGGGAGTAGCTTGAAGAGGAGCGGGCCATCTTCGTGTGCGATAGCGTAGGGCCAGGCCTTCAGAATTCCATCTGCAACAGCCCACCTTAGCCCCCGTTTGAAAGCCTGTGTCTGTTTGACCAGCCTGTCTCAGATGCTTCCTGTGGGCAAGTACATCACGTGCTTCCTACTAGATCCTGGGGTGGAGGTGGAGGCCAAGGGCAAGAAGGTCTGAACGAGGCACGGCCATTTCCATCAGGCAAAAAGTACACAAGCAACACAGGCTGCAGGAAATAAGGTGGGGAGGAAGCACTAAGTGGACCCCGTGGGCTCAGGATGTGTCTAGACAAACTCTACGTTCCACACTGAGGGGCTGGTGTCACTATAACTCCCTTTTCAAAGGCTCATTGGAGGGTTGTTTGGGACAAGTGTGTGGAATTTACAGTCAAACATTCCAGGGTTCAAGTACTTCCTTATTAGCTCTGTGATCTTGGGAAGGTACTTAAACTCTCTCAGCCTCAGTTTCCACGTCTGTGAAAGGGAGATACTGAGCCTGTCACATGGGTTAACAAGGGGGTTCAATGAGATGAGGAAGACAAAGCACACAGCTCGATCCACAGCGTCGAGCATGTAGCAGGGGCTCCCTCACCTTCCCCACTTGGACTAGGGAGTCGCTGGTCTTGGCACAGCCAGGTGGGCCGACGTCTCTGAATTTTCTTTGTGACAGGCTGGGAAGGTTGAGAATCTGAATGCTGACTCACAGATCTGACTGTGCTGATTAACCTGTGGGGTGGGGCGGCAGGTGAGCCCCGAGACTCAGGGACACAGTGCACGGAGAGGAATTGTCTTCATGAGCAGGGGTTGGCAGAGAAGAGCTGGGGAACAGGGACATGTGACTGGCCTGATCCCGGCTGTGCTCTCCAAGGCGGAGCTGGGATGGGGGTGGGGCGGCCTCCTCCAGGACTCTTTCTGCCTTGGAGGTTCATCTGAACCTGATTACATCTTGAGGTTGGGCGGGAGGGGGATGGGGGGGGTGTCATTGAGGTATGGTGTAGGGTACACAGCACACTTTACCCTGAGCCAGGATTCCCAGGACAAGGTCCCAGCCCCTTCTCCCATCCCCCAACCCCCGTCACGGCCCCCACCTGCCAGCTACCCACAGTGTTGTCCCGAGTATTACTGTGTAATGTGAAGCCTCAGCTAGGATAAGCATTGACTGACACTGTTGTCGAGAGGGATCTCACAGGGCTGTTCCATTCACCATCGGGAGAAAAATGAGTATATTAAGAAATTATTTTTCTGAGGTAATTGAAATCCGAACACCTTACCTAGCTCACCAAGCCAAGGTGGAAAGTGAACCTTGGTTCTAGATGATACACGTTAGGCCTGAAAGAGAAGAATGAGTCCTTGGGTTAACAGAGACAGTGAGGCACCTGTGCTGGCCTCAGAGCGACTCCGGGCAAAGCAAGAGTGGTCCAAATCCACTGAGAATCTGTACATCTCATAAAGCTAAGAATTCTACTCTTCTCCGTCACTAAATTATTTACCTAAGCTACTGAGAAACCACTTGTTGCTCAAATCCCTGCTTTTCCCACCTTCCCACTGCCCCCCTGCATTCATACATGTGGTTGCTCAGCAATGGGAAGGAAAGAGAGGCTGGGATGCAGTAGTCATGGGTGATCTTCACTCTGGATGGTGAATAAATGAGGCTTGGCTGTCTTTTGTGCTGTGTCTTTCATGGCTAGACACAAAAGTCCACACAGTGGGCTCAAGAAGTACTCTGGGGTCTCACAGCCAGGCTGGCTCACAAGCAGGGTATGGTTAGGAAAAACTGACCAACAGATAAGCATTGATTGAATACCTACTATGTGGCAGGCAGAATGTAAGGATTTAGGTATACATGGTCCCTGCCTTCAGGAGCTCAGAGTCTGGGGAGGAAGATAGATTTTAAACAAACAACATACCAAAAGTTACATAATTCACAGATTGTGACACATGAATAGCTGTTATGAGGGGGAATAACAGCGGGGATCTGATACAGATTGGGAAGCAGGTTCAAGGAAGTATCTCTGAGGAGGTGACAGTTAAGATAAAGCCTAGAGCAGCGCTTCTCAAATTTCAATGTGCATCAGAACCACTCAGAGAGTTTGTTAAAAAAACAGGCTTTTGGATCCCAGCCCCAGAGTTTGTGATTCAGTAGTTCCGAGGTGGGTCCCAAGAATTTGCATTTCTGCTAAGTTTCTGGATGATGCTGAGACTGCGGGCATGGAGACCACACTTTGAGAATCACTTCCCTAGAGGATCAGTAGGAATTAGCCAGGTGAAGAGAGTAGGGGAGAAGGCCAGCGCGGCAGAGGGAGGAGCCTGCACAAACCCCGTGATGTGGGAAAGATCTAGAGGCTTCAGCTACTGGAAAGGTCAGTGTGTCTCAAGGCAGGGAATTAGTGGACCGGTGGCTTGAGGTGATGGTAGAGATGAAGCTGGCCCTCATCCCCATCCTGAAACTCACTCCAGCAGAGCCACGACCAGTGGTAGTGGGTCTAAGAAGAATGGTTCCATTGGCCCTTGGGGATGTCCCACCGCAACATGGAGCTAATAGAACTGAGCCGACACTGAGATTCTGTGAGGATTTAAGTGATAAGGCATGCGAAGGGCCAAGCACAGAGTAAATGCTCAGTCCATTCTAATTTTCTTTCCCCTCTCCCTTCCCTGACTTGAAACAAGACCTTACCTCACATTCTCTATTTTAGCCATAAAAGGACATGTTCCTGAATTGGTGCTGAGACGCTCTCCCATAGCTGCAAGCAGAAGGAGTTATTGTGGAAGTGGTCCATGATACCTAACCTGGATCCGGTCAAAGAATTGACTATAGATAAGAAATTCAGACCCCGCTTCCAAAGAGCAGGGTAGGGTGTGTGTGTTCTTTCATCTCACGCAATTCATAAAGGTCATGGGATTTTAAACCAAAGAAAGCATGGGTTGGGTTTTTGGAGCCAAAGCACACAATTGGCATCAGGCCGACTAAATTCAGAGCACATTTACTGAATCTCACTTTGTGCCAGGGGCTGTGCTAGGTGTTGGGAAGATGGGTAGGTCATCAGGACTGGGTCCTGCCCTTGAGGAGCTCCCAGTCTTATTGGGAGATGAACACATAAATACACAGAGCAGTGGGGGAGAAGCCATAACAAAGGTGTGTGCAAAGGGCAATAAAAACTCGGGAGACACAGAGCAGTTTTGCCAGGGAAAGTTGGAGAAAGGCAAAGACAGAAAGTGACATCAGAGCCAAGCCTGGGAAGAAGACATCCACAGAACGAGCAGGACTGAAGGATAAAGGAACAAATCTCCTTTAAGAACTTTTTTGTTGTGGTTTTAAGCTCTGATCTAAATCATCATTATGAGCTTCTAGAAGATACGTGGCCACATAGTGTTGAATTTGATTTAAAATATTGCATAAACCGTTATGTATAGAAACACATATGGAAACAATCTGAAAATATTTCTTCTCAAATATAGTGCCATTTGCTTTTATGTATTTGCTATTTACGGACGAAAATGTGAAATATGGTTTGGTCTTCTGAGACTCAGAACAAATTATATCAACATTCCAAGCAAAAATAATTTTGGTTATTAATTCATTTGTTTACTTACTTGGTCAGTCAACAAACATTTAGTTAGGAATTTCAATTTTTGAAGCACTGCAATAGGTCCTTTGAGGGCAAGAAAGATATGTAAGACATTGTCTTGCTCTCAGGCCTCTTCAAGGCTTAGGAATGAGAAAAATACTTGGACACAAATAATTCTAACACAAGTAGTGGTAAGTGATATAGTGAATACAAACAAAATGCTCCAAGTGTCTAGAGAAAACAGCTATTTTCTGAATGGGAAAGTCATAGAAAGCTCGGCCATTTATGGGAGGCCATTTGCACTAGGCCTCGTAGGATAGGAAGGGATGGGACATAGAGAAACGAGGGGAGGAGAGGTGTTCCAGGCAGAGGGAGATTTGTGAACAAAAGGGCTGGGAGGTCACTTGTCCTGTTTAGGGGTATGACTTGGGGAAAGAACTGGAAAAGTTAGATGTCAGCCTCAGCAAAATTTGAGCTTGATTCCACTGGCTGTGACTTGTTGGAATTTGAAATGCCAAGCGTTTGTCACTTGGTTCCTTGTACGCTTGTTTTAGTTGGCATCTCAGGCCTGACCTTCATCTTGGCATAATTTTGTCCACCCCATGGGATATGTTTTAAAAAATCAATCTGTGTATGACGATAGTAATAAAGTCACAATGTGGCTCCAAATAGCCATAAAGGCCACAGATTGAAAGTAGACCCTTTCCTTCAGGAATTTACAATTCCACATCTGGAGGTTGAAAAAGATGGGGTTCATATCAGAGTCCCTTCAGGAGACAGTTGAAGGCTCATCCTACACCTGTGTGGACGGGTGTGGGCAGGGTTAAGGGAAACCAACTAGGGATGGTGCAGCTTCTGTGGGCTAGGGAGAGCCTGCAAGCTGTCACCACCAGTAGGCTGAAGGCAACACCCCTAGGCAGATGGTAGTAGGGCAGGGGACACAGCAGACATTGGAACCTGGAAAGAGTTCTGCATTGCCATGGAGGCGCACCGCCACTGCCCGCGCTCTGATCCTGTGCTGGTGTCTCCCATTGGCTGAACTGGGCTGATGGAAGCCAGAGGGCAAGGGGCCATGATGTATTCCCTACAGGTCAGCCTGCCAGGGCACACCGTCCAGGGAGGAGGGATGGAGAGCACGTCTGGAGGGGCGAACAGAGACTGTGCAACACACTCCTTTTCAGCTTTAACATTTCTATGATTCCAAAACAACCCAAACTATAGGAAGCCTTCATTCAACAAATATGTTCCAAACACTCATGCTGTTCTCAGAAATTTATAAAAAATAAGAAACACGGGGAATCCATCGGATGGATAGACGAATGGGTGGATGGTGATGGAGTCTTCGGCTGAGAGTTCACTCAATAGTAACTCAACTGGACGGCAAGGTTGGTGAACACAGGGACTGGGCCGGGTCTCTGCATCGCTGAGTCCTCGGGGCCCAACGCGGTGCCTGGAGCTTCGTAGCTCCCAATAGACGTCTGCCTGAACAATGTGATAGATGAAATGTGAAGACCAACATAGAATGGGCACCTTGGAGTCTTCGGTCAGGAGAACCCACATTTGGGCCAGGAGCTGATGTTCTTGGCCCTGGGAGAAGCAGTGCCTGTTTTTCTGCTTCTAGTACCTTTTAGGTCAAAGCTTCTAGCACCTGCCAGGGAACAAAGACCGTTTAATGGTGTTGGGGAGATAAAGGACAGTCTTGCCTTTCAATTGTTCCATCTTTTCTAGTCACTTAGGACGGCAACATTATAACTCCTGCATCCCAACTTCAATTCATTCATTCATTTATTTGTTCAGTGAACATTTATGGAGTGCTTACTTTGTGTCTGAGAATCTAAAAATAAGACAGATGCACCCTCGGCTCTCAAGGAGCTTAGTCTGGTTGGAGCTACAGACACGACATTAGGAAACTTTAGAGCTGGTGCTGGCACAGGGAAGGCAGGCCACTGTGGAGCAACAGGGGGACACCCAATTACAGGCTGGAGTCTCAGAGCAGGTAAGTTGAGTCCTAAAGAACTTTCCACATGTTTACTTTATCTCTGGCTCTCCCCACCACCACCCAGTAAGGAAGTAAGAAGGAAGTAGTAAGCAGTCAGTCAATGACTGGGAATGCAAATTCCTGGCTGAGGTAACACTGACAGAGTGCCATGAGTCAATCAGTGAACGCAAATGGAGGGTACAGGCCTTCCTCCCCAGAGAAGAGGAGCAGAAGGTCAGGAGGGTACAAAGTGGGCACCCGGATTGGAGAGAGGGGAGGACAGGTACAGAAAGGGAGGTGGGGGGCGGTGGGGGGGGCGACCAGACAAACCTCACTGCAGAGGTTTCTGGAGAATTGGTACTATTTACTTTGCATTCTTTGCAAACAAATGGAAAGTATGTGAGGAGGTCTGTTTGTTTATATCTGCTTGTTTGTTTTTTTATCTGCTAGCAACTGAATATAATAAAGGTCTCAGAGATGTTGTTATGGACCTGCATGGTCCGTATTACTCGTGACCCACCTGGTTTGTGAAGGAGTTTGCCTGGTTTTAAAACATGGGCAATTTTGTTACCAAATTGCTTCATTCCCAGAGGTTTTGTTAATCAGACATTCTTGTCTTTAACTTGAATACTATGACTAGGAATGGGAAGAAAAAAATAATTTGGGGAGGAGGAGCAGAGGGGGAAAAAAAGAAATAGAATGTTAGTCAAAATCTAAGGGGTGAAAGATTCTGAATTTATCTATATTGCCCTCTTTTTAAAGAAAAAAAAAGCCTGCTAGAGTTGTGAGAATTTGATTAAAGTGGATTTCATTTCTTATACAAATTTGGGAAATAGAAGTTTTTTTGCTTTTCTTTAGGAAGATCAGCCCTGAGCTAACATTTGCCAATCCTCCTCTTTTTGCTGAGGAAGACTGGCCCTGAGCTAACATCCATGTCCATCTTCCTGTGCTTTTATATGTGGGACGCCTGCCACAGCATGGCTTGATGAGCGGTGCCATGTCTGCACCCGGGATCCCAACCTGCAGACCCCAGGCTGCCAAAGCAGAACGTGTGCACTTAACTGCTGCGACACCGGGTCAGCCCCTAGAAGTTTTTCTAATTTACTACCGCCATCTCATTTTTTAAAGGAGGAAAAAACCTTCCAGCCCCAGAAAGTGTCTCTGTGTTAAGTGTGTGTGCAGCTGTATCTCATTTTCTATCAGAATATTACTTCTGTCAGGGAGTGGCTCTCCACTTGCAGTCTTTAAGGTGTTTAGAGTTTTGAGGTCCTTGTTCTGGAAGAACTTACGCCGGGCCCAGCCTCTGGCCAGAGGGCGGATTATCTTACCTTCTGGCCATCTGCTCAAGTCTCCTTTGTCCCAGCCCCTCTCTGTTCACCTCTTGAAAGCCTTTGAGGCTAGATCCTTCCCTCTCCTGCTCAGAGCTTCCTCTCTTACCTATATATTGATGACACCTGAAGTTTTAGCTCCAACCCAAACATTTCCCGTCACCTGCAGACCTGTATCCTCTTACCTACTGACATCTTTCCTGTGTGTTCCACGGGCACCTCAGACCCAGTATACTCAGAGCGGCTCACCAGAGTGCTTGCCCTCGCCTGACCAGTGCCTGCCTTGTGGGAGGTCCTAGCATCCAATAGTTGTGCAGTCACGGCCCCTTGGTTACTAAATCCCTTTCTTTTTTTTTTCCTTTTGAAGATTGGCCCTGAGCTAACACCTTTTGCCAATCTTTCTCTTTTTTTTTTCCTCTCCCCAAAGCCCCAGTACATAGTTGTATATCCTAGTTGTAGGTCATTCTAGTTATTCTATGTGGGATGCCACCACAGTATGGCTTGATGAGCGCTGTGTAGGTCCACACCCAGGATCCGAACTGGTGAACCCTGGGCTGCTGAAGTGGAGTGTGCAAACCCAACCACTTGGCCCTGGGACTGGCCCCACCAAGTCCCTTTCTATCCCCGAATTTCTTTCCGGTTCTTCCCTCCTCTCCATTCCTAACGCCAGGGCTCTTCTTCAGGCTCCCCTCAGCTCTTTCTGGACTATTATTAATGACCTCTCTACCCCTACTAGTTTTCTCCAGCCCATGCTTCCCACCAACACCAGATTTGTCTTTACAATGGGCAAATCTCCATGTCTCTTCCTTCTGTAAAATCTTTCAGGAGTTCTCCATTTTCTAGCTCTTCTTATCAATGGAGGAGTCACTTGAATGGTTTCATTCTCTTTGGCAGGTTCCTCCTGTTATACGGCGATGGCCCCTGAGTCTCTTTGCTGGCATCTCCTCCTCTCCTTGACCCCTAAGAGTTGGTAGGCCCAGAGTGTGGCTTCCTCGCCCTCTTCTCCCTTCTGACTACATGGCCCTCTTAAGTGACCTCCTCTAGCTCCACGGTTTATGGCAGCGTCGATACACTGATGACTCCCAAATTTGCTGCCCCAGCTCTGACCTTTCCACTGAGCTCCAGGCACAGAGATCCAGCTGCCTCTTGATGTCTTCACTTGGATGTCTAGTAGAGACTCAGACTGAACAAGGCCAAAGCAGGGTTCTTGATTTCCCACCCATTCTTTTCTTGCTCCTCCGATACCCTTCTCCATCTCAGGAAATGGCACTACCATCCACCCAACTGCCCAGGCCAAAACCCCAGTGGTTATCACTGTTTCTTCTCTCTCCTCACTCCACTCCCCACATGCACTCCATCGCAAGTCCTGTCAGCCTTCTATTCAAAACGCATGCATACTGAACCGGACCGTTTCTCCCTGGTCACCACCATCTCTAGCTTGGATTAATCCAAGAGCTCCTACCAGCTTCTACCCTTAATTCCCTAGAATTGACTCTCCACGCAGTGGCCAGAGCAATCTTTTCAAAAAGCAGATCATACTGTGTTTCTTCTCTGCTTAAAACCATCACAAGCTTCCTGTCGTATCTGCCCACGCTAGGATCCTCTCTCTTGCTTGAACTTAACTGCGCTTGTTCCTGCCTTGAAGATTTCGCATACACTGTTCCCTTGCTGGGATCCTCTTCCCCCACATCTTTCCATTCCTAGCTCCTTGGGGTTATCCATGTGTCAGATCAAATGTCCCTTCCCAGAGAAGCCTTCTCTGACCTTGCAAACTAAAGTGGCCTCCCCATCAGTCTCTCTCTATTGCAGTAATTTGTTTTATTATCTTCAGATCATGATAAAATGATCTTTTTCTTTCTTGTTAATTGTCTCTCTTCCCCTCACTAGAATGTAAGCATCGTGACAGTATGGATTCATGTTGTTTACAATCTATCCTCAGCACCTAAAATCATTCCTGGCATATGGTAGTTGTTCAAAAATATTTGTTGAGTGGATGAATGAATACATAATTGAACAAATTTGCCTCTGTTAGAAATACCTCTCTCGACAGATAGACAGATAGATAGATAGATAGATAGATAGATAGATAGATAGATACGTATGTTAGGTGTAGCATCATTGAAGACCAGGAGAGGCTTGGCTCTCAAATACACCTAAAGGAATGTATGACAGCCACTCAACACTGTGGCCTCTCCTCAGATACCAGTGCAAGGCTTTCATCATTAAGCTTATTACCTCCTGCTGATAAATAATGGTGAAAGATATTTTATTGTTAACACCCAACTTCCCAGTCCACTTAATCTTTGCAAATTTGTAACTCGGGCCCCAGGGCCAATGCCCATCCCTGTGACAAGTGCAGGTTTACTCTGAACTTTCCATTCTTCTCTCTCTGTTCGTCTTGAGCCATCCTGAGAGCAGGCACCGGGGCTGGAGGATGTCTGATCTGGAATTCTATGGGACGTGCATTCGGTTTCCTCAGAGTAGCTTTGATTGATTCTGTCTGAGATTTCATTATGATTAGGAAAAACTGGGGCTGGGATCCTGAATCTCCTCACAGATTAGGGTGAGGGAGGCATAGGGGACATCAGGTGGCCTCTTAGAATCTGTTCCTCTGTTGTGAGAAGGACAGTTAGGTACTCTTTGTGTATTCCTTTGGCTCAGGATAGGGATAGTGATGATGGGATAATGGGATAATGAGGATGGGGATAATGGGATAATGCCATGCCCACTCGTGGAAGAACTCCAAGGGGAATTTAATGCAGGTATTGCCAGTGACACTGATGATCAGGGAAGATAAACCACGGACTTAACTTCTCCAGAAATTATCAAACACTGTGGCATTTGACTGTCCTGGTCTTCCATACTGTGACAATCAGGCACCCCAGCTTGTCGCACATCAACATCTTCAATCTTCAAAGAGGAATGACCAGTGATATGATCAGAAGAACCTAGATGGTGCACCCTGTTTGTTTTAACCTCATCAGTGGAACCAAAGTCCTGTTATCAATAGATAACTGCTGCTCCTCCAGCTCTCAGAGGTCGGGCTTCTGTGTATTTCCCGTGAACTAGAAAGAAAACTTTCTTCCTCCCCCATATTTCTGCTTCTTGGGTTATAGATTGAAACAGGCAGATTCCACTGCATGTCCGGGGCCACCAGAAAGCCAGCTCCAACCAGAAGCCACCTTACTCCCTCTCATGTTCTAAACAGCTGGACACATAGGCCATGGGTGAAGCTGTGAAATGGGTGGAGTTGGTTTTTGCTGCCCACTTCCTTCACCCCAGAAAGAGTAGGTCTACTCTTCCTAAGTTAGTGGTGTGTTGAGTGGCTCTTCAGAGAAGAAGAGAGGGTCTGATACACACAGTCTTATGAAGGTTTTAGAGGCACAAAGAGTTACCACAAATAGAAATACTTACAGTTTTAAACTTTAGGATGCTGAACCAATTAGAAAAAAACCAAACACACTCTGAGGGAATTTCAAGCCCTGTAAAGTCTGGGTAGGGGAGACATTAGGGGCGTGGGCAGGGAGTGGGGTGGACTCCAGCACCTCTGAGCTAAATCATGCCATGTTGGCTATTGCCTACTTACCTAGCTAGGTCCAGGAGGAGACGACAGGGGCATAAACAGGCTCTGTTTCACTCCTGGCAATAGGGGTGCCAAGGGAGGGACTGGCCAGTGACACTGCAATAGAAGTGCTGACTGGTTGGTATGGAGAGCAAGAGAGGAGGAGGAAAGCCAGACGGCTGTCGAGTAGATCGGGAGAGTTGGTAGGAGCGGTAACCACTAGGAACCAGATTTGGTAGGGCGATGATGCCGTCTGGTTCAGAAACTTCCAGTGTGAAATACTGACGGGCTCAAGTAGAGATGTCCAGCAGGCAAGGGGAAGTGTGAGAGCAGAGCTTCATGCGCTGCGTTAGCTCTCCCCAGCCCCACCCCCAGCTGGACGGGGAACTCTGCCTTCTTCTACCCTTCCTTCTCCTTCCTTCTTGTTTTCCTTTCTCTCTCTCCCTTCCTCCCGTCTTCTCATTCTTTCTTTAAAAATCAGACACCACTTTACAACCCCCTTCAAGGTTCACGGAAGGAAGTAAACATCCAGGGGGTTAAGCCTTGGGCTCAACTTTGCTGTATTATAGTAAGGATGCAGCAGAAAACTTTTAAACATGAGGCATCCAAAGACACTTAAAATCGGACAAATGTGTGCAGACCCTCAGACCTCTGGCTAAGAGTTTTGAGACACCGTCTGTTTTAATGCAGTATCTTGGGAACAACAGACAGCCTGCTGGTTGCACAGGCAGGTACTGAGTGCAGACAGCCTCCCAGTACTTCTCAAGCGGCTCTTCTGGACAATCCCACACTTACAGGAGCGAATACAGCGGCTTTTGTGTTTTTTTTTGTAGATAATTAGAAAAGGTACTCGGAGGATTTGGTGTCTTTTCCTTTCCTCGTTGTCTCTTATTTTTCTCTTTCTTGTCTTCCTTTCATTTTATTTACTTTCTTTTCTGAAAATATTTGTATTTTTTGCTTGGGGTTAATTTACCCTGAGTTTTTGAAACCATCCTTTTACCTGCTGGGTTATTTTTGCCTCAGACTTTCTTAAAGTTCTGTTGCTTTACCCGCTACCACATCTCAACCTGAACTTGGTCTTTCGCCTTCTGATGTCTTCGCTCTTCTGCTTTTCCTCGTCTAGACAGGGCCTGAAAAGGCTGTGACTGTGAATTAAGGATAGATGCCGCTGATAATTTAAATGACCTTAGCCCTTCCACCTAATCCCCCTTTGCCTCATTTTTCCATCTGTGGAAGGAAGAAGCGTCTTAGTTTCACTATTGTACATGACAAAGGACCACAAACGTAGTGGCTTAAACAACACATGCGTCTTATCTCACGGTCTCTTTGGGGCAGAAGTCTGGGCAGGGCTTTACTGGGTCCTCTGCCATCTGTGGGGCCACAGTCTCATCTCAAGACTCGAGTGGGGGAGGGTTCTCTTTCAAGCTCTTCTGGTTGTGGGTAGGACTTAGCTCCTTTCAGTTTGTTGGACTAACTAGCTCTTGGCCAGCGGCACCCTCAGTTCCTTGCCACGTGGGCCTCCCCAACGTGGCTGCTTCATCAAAGCCAGCAAGTGTCTTTCAGTAAGCCTGTGAAACCTAATCACTGAAGTTGACATCCCACCACTGTGCTGTATTCTTCGGTTAGGAAGCAAGTCACAGGTTCCCCCACACTCAAGGGGGGGCAATTCCACAAAGGCATGAAGGCCAAGAGGTGGGGATACCTGGGGGCAGTCTTAGAGTCTGTTCACACAGAGAGGAGTGCTTTTGAGGGAAAATACTTTGAGCTCCTTAGAAAAAGTCTATAAAGGATATATTCATACTGCTCTCATGCCTTATTGTAGGCCTTTATAGATGATCACTAACACCAAAATAAAGTTTCTCTTTGTCTCCGTCCATGTCCTGTGAACTAGGTTTGACTTCTAAAAATGACTTGTTTTCCTTTTCTGCCGCTAGCAATCTCATCAGTCTCTCTGGATGAGAAAGCCAGCAGGAGAAGATTACTCCTGTGGATCTCGGTTTTGGCTGGACTGACACAGCGCTGTGGGCAGGGAGAAAGGAGATGCCGATGCAAGTGCTCTCGAGGTCTTTGTTGGAAACCCCTCCGGCCTGGAGGAGCCAGGTGCAGGGCAGGCGGAATAATAACACAATTGAGATCTTTACAGTGGGGGCATCTAATTACCCACAGTTTATTACTTTTTCAAAGTGTCTGAAGGCGTCATATCATCTCCCTAGACCTCAGATTCCAGCTCCCTAAACAGATTGCGAGGGGTCAGGGTGGCAGCATCTGTGGTTGATCCACGTTTGACTCACGTTGGTAAACTGTCCGCACTATTAAGGCTGAGGGATAATCCCCCGACACACACACGCATAATAGCGTGTTGCCTATGTATTCATTTGATTACAAAAGTTCTTCACTTTGAGGAAGAACGATCTTTATTATATAGGGTATATCGTATATATATTTATAAGTGACTAATGTCTCTCACTTTAGGATCTTTTAAAAATAATCGTGTATGCGAATTTGAGTTGAGGGATGTGGCAGATCTGATCCTTCGGTGTTTTCTCAGGGTGGAGGCGCTCGGAGAGGACAGTGGAGAGAAGGGTGGGCGCGGTGAGGAGGGAGCTGGGCGCCCCAGACCCCAGTCCTAGGAAAGGCGCCAGGTTCGGCAGCTCCAGCCAGCCTCCACTTCCCTCCAGCGGCGGGAGAGGCGCTGCCCCGAGCCGAGAGCTAGGGGGGCGCCGGGCGGGCTCAAAGTCGGGGCTCCGCACCCCGGGAGGGGCGCTAGGACCCAGGACCCGCCGGCCTCGGGACGTGCCTGGGGAGTGAAGGCGCACAGAGGCTCCGGCTCGCGGCCACAGTCCCTCGGAACGGCCAGACCCTTCCCGCGGGCGCGAGGCCCGGCGCGGGCGCGGAGCCCTGGGCCCTCGGCGGGGCTGCGGGCACGGGCGCCGCCGCCGCCGGCATGGACCAGCCGCGCTGCCCGCCCGGCGCGCGCCAGGTGAGCCCCGCGCGGGGTCTGCCCGTCCCCGAGCCGCCGCTGCGCCGCTCCGCCGGGCCCAGGGCGCCAGGCACGAGCCAGCGCCGGCCCCGGGCCCCTTCCAGGCGCCCCGCCGCCGGAGAGGAGTGTTTCTGCCCTGTTTGCCACTAGTCCCGGCGGGTCCTGTGCCAGCGCCCCTCCTCCTTCCCGGGAGGGCAGCACCTGGAGCGGCTGCCGTGCCCGCCGCCTGACCGTCCCTCGGGTCGGGCGCGCTCTCCCTGCCGCAGCCCAGCGCTGCCGCGTCGGCCCGCGCCGCTGCCTCCTGTTGCGTCCGAGTTTCCCACGCGCTCCCTGCGCCGCCGCGGTGCCCCGCTTTCCTCCGCGTGCTTCCAGAGGCTGCGGAGCTGCCTCCCCTCCCCAAAAGCAAACCAGCGCCAGCCCCGGCCTCCCGCGAGGACGGGGGTGTCCAGGTGCATGACGCCTCCGTGGCCTCACTGCCGCGCTCGCGACTCCGTGACCCAGGGGACCCGTTCCCACCCGCGCGCAGCTCCCGGGACGGCGCTCGCTGGGCAGACAGACGGAGCGTAAGGTTCAAACCACGCGCCTCACGTGGGGGAGATGCAACGTGGGCGCAGAGAAGGGTCTCTTACCATCGGTCGTGGGAAAGTGCCAATGAGAACGGTCTGCAGCGCGGGAGTGGGGGTGGGGGAGCGCTTCGTCCAAGGGGGAAGCCGCGCAGGCGGCGCTGGCCCTCTGAACTTGGGGGCGTTGTGCTGGGCGTCACGTCACCTGAAGTGCACTTAGTTACCAGAATTAGGTAGACGGGGTGCCCTGGACTGTTGCGGGAGGTGAGGCTTGCGCCAGCCTTTGTAAGGCTTGGCCACGGGTCTTTAACAGGCTTCTCTGTACCTTCAAGACTAGCCGTGCCCACCCATGCTGCTCGCAGCTCAGTCTGACACCAGATTGCCCTCTCCAGGTTTCTAACCCCAGAAAAATGTCGCTGACGAGTTGCTATGCGCGAGCTGCGAGTTGCTAGGGCCGCGAGACCACCACGGTTGAGCGGTGGGCATCTGCCCCCGCAGCCTTTGCCGGCTGCCAGGTCAGGGCACTGGGGGGCGTGCCTGCCCTGACAGTAACAACCGCTGGCATTAGAACCTGAAGTTAAACACGTGTCGCTGACCTGGAAGAGAGACTTCCTCTAAACTGTGTGTTGGGAGACAATCAACAATCAACAAAAACATTCACACAGGGTCCACGGGGGTAGGCGAGGGGAAGGGGTCTCCCCCTCTAGGGTTTTAGAATCTCCTGGCTGGCATTGCCAGTTCTGCTTGACTACCCCTCTGACCTTGAATGAGCTGTTTTGACTTTGCTCGGTTTTCCAAGAAGCAAAAACGGAAGAATACTACTAATTGGCCAGTAGTGGAAAGAGCATGCCCTGGGAAGCCAGTCTCTGGGTTCTAGCCCTGACTGTACCGCTGACCAGCTGTGAAGCTGTGCGCAAGCCGGGCAACCTGTCTGGGCCTCAGCTGCCGCAAAAGGCTCAAAAGAACCTTTAATTCTGGGTTGCCAAGCTTAGCTAGCCTAGGAATCCTCACTACTTCTTTGCAGTCTAACTGTACTTGGTTACATGCATGCGTGGACCGAAGAGGTACTGGGTCAGAACTGTGGGTGAATTGAATTTTAATTCCAATCTGTTTATACAGCCACACAAATCTTTCAGGCTTAAGGTCTGAGGAAATAAACCTAGCTGGTTTAGTTGTTGCTTAGGATGCCCTGGGAAGGATCTCAAAGAGAAAGTCCTGTTTACGTTAGAGTGTGGTTGCATAAAAGGTCCTTTCTGTGCATTCGAGAGAACCTGGCCAGAACCACCCTTACAGAAGTCAGTAGAGGAGAAGCCCCGAACTGCTGCCTCGATGGAAGAGGGCTGAGCGTGCCGCATAGCCCATGGAGGCACCTTAGCTTACACCTGATAGACCATTTGTTCACCTGGGAAGGACTCTGCGAGTGTTAACTTCTCAGAAAAGCAGTTTATCCATTTGGTAATGAAATTGCCTTTAGAAGCTACGTTAAATATTGCAATGTCTAACCTTGCTGGAGTCTATGGGGTAAGCCCTGCTTAAAGAAGCATTGCCTTTTTATATAATTTCAGGAAGGGAAACAAGCAGGATGATTTACTATGTTTTCTCACTAGTTTTCTAAAAGAGATTTCAAAAAAAAGTAAATACAACACGAACTATAAGAAACTTGTTTCTTCAGGTTCCAGAGATGAGTATCGTCATCGTTACCATAATGGTGAGTATCTCTGAAGCGCTTACTGGGTGCTGAGTGTTGTTCTAAGCACTCTGTGTACATAGTCTCCTATCAACGCCTTCTGAAGGAAGTGCTGTCATTTCTTTCCATTTTGCAGGTGAGGGAACTGAAGCTTCTTGCCTGAGATCACACAGCTGGTGGGTGGTAGAGCTGGCCCCGCTGCTTGGGTTTATTTGCAATGATCCACGCAGTATGTAAGAAGGAAGGGGGCAAGAAGTGCCTGCTAGGAGTTGGGTACTTCATACACCTCAGTGCACGGAGATTCGTACATCTTTTATGGGTGGTGATTTTCTTTTCTTTTTCTACATATCCTTTCTTGTTTTTATCAATATGACTTGAGTATCTTTTCATGTGAGCAAAAATATTGACATCTTTCTTTTTAACTATATAGATTTGCGAGCAGATAGATGAACCATAACTGATTTAACCAATACCTTGTGAGTGGATGATTTCTAAATTTTCACAGTCACATAGAGTGCTAGCATAGTGGATCTTATTTATATTTTTCTGCATACCCATTATATTCCTGGTGTATCAATTCCTAGGAGTGGAGTTGCCGTGTGAAAGAGCGTGGTTACTATTTAATAGATACCGCCAACTTGCCTTCACAAAAAGAAATGTAAATTCTGGTTGGGGTCCAATTCTTCTGCTAATATGTTTGGGCTTTTGGTAAACGAGTGAATCTGAATGGATCTCAAGTGTATCATTTGTAAAGTAGAGGGGGTAGGACTTGTTGGTTGCCAAGGATATTTCTGAAAATATATACAATTAGAGGTTGAACAATGGAATTGTCCATATTTGACCATTTTTTACCTACAAAGGCAGAAATGTAATATGATTTCACCAAATGACACGTGAATTCCTGAAGTATCTGTTTTCGGTACCCTGGCTTTTCGGAGGTAGGTTTGTGAGTGAGAGGAGACTAGCCTATGCCGTTGTCACAAACCAACCCTGAAACCTCAAATGGCTTTAAAAAAAAGTTTATTTCTCACTCACATCATGTGTCCAAAGCAGGTGAGCAGACTGCCCTGTACCACACGGTCATTCAGGGAGCCAGGCTGACAGAAGCCGCTCCGCCATCTTGGAGCTGCACGATCTAGAACGTGTCATCTCTGAGGTCCCATGGCAGGGGCGGAGAGAGAGGCTGCGGAGAGCTGCCACGTCCTCTTCCATGCCACCCACCAGGAATGAAGCTTATTTCTTCTATTTACAGTTCTTTGGTCACAACTAGTACATGGACCTCACTCCAATGTGTGGAAACTGGGAGATATTGTTTTCCTGTGTCTAGAAAGAGGAAATAGTATGGCAGTACATAATATCGTGTACTAGTTTGCTGGGGCTGCCGTGACAAAGTATCATAGACTGGGTGGCTTACACCACAGAAATTTTTCCTCAGAGTTCCAGAGGCTGGAAGTCTGAGATAAAAGTGTCAGCAGGCTTGGTTTCTTCTGAGGGCCTCTGTCCTTGGCTTGAGCACCTTCTGCCTGTGTCATCATGGGATCTTCCCTCTGTGTTTATGTCTGAATCCCTTTTTATAAAGGCACCGGTCACACTGGATTAGGACTCTCCCTGATGACCTCGTTTAATGTTAATCACCTCTTTGAAGATTCTGTCTCCAAATGCAGTTACATTCTGAGGTACTGAAGGCTAGGACTTCAACCTATCAATTTTGGGGGACACAATTCAGCCCATAATACATTGTCTCTATCAGATGGCACATCCTGAAGGGTAGTCACCCTGTTTTTATTTGAGGAGGCCAGTATGTTTCTGAGGCCACATTATGGAGTCATCTCCCCCTTCACATCACATCCTCTCCCATTGACTAACAAGAAGTCTTATTTTCTGAATTCCCTGGGTGTTACTTAAAGGAGCCCAATGTTACTACTTGCGTCAAGTAGCCTTTCGTTAATGCCATTGAATCCAATGGGAGACAGGGTGACTCTGGGTGAGAGATGGTAACTGGTGGCTAAGAGCATGAATCTCAAAGCACACCACCTGGGTTCTAATCTCAGCTCCACCACTTGCCAGCAGTGTGTCCTTATTTGTAAAACGGGAAGAGTAACACTTCCCCCATGGGGTTATTGTGCCAATTAAATGAGATAATGTATAGAAACTGCTTGGCATATACTAAAGGGTCAAAAATGGTGACTATTATTCTTTGCAACCTCAGAAGCTCATGGAACCCTTCAGGCCCGGTGAGCGACTTCCAGACGCCAGGGGCACAGACAACCCAGTGGCTCTGCTGCTTGAGCTCCAGGACTTCCGCGGCCGGCCGGGAGCCTGTGCTCCTTAGTAGGGTAGGAGTCGCACGACCATTGTAAAGCTGCAGCAGCTCACTCTCATTCACGTCATAGGTTTCCAAACCGATTTGAGAGCCAAAAAGGAACACAAGAGTCTATCCCCTTGTATAGCCCCTTAAAATTATTATCCCCACTTCAGTGAAGGCAACTAGGGTTGGCAGTTAAAGTGATTTGTGAAAGCAGCATTTCCGTTTTTCTGAGATGTCCCCTTTCCCATTTCAGTGGCCCTGGAATCGGGGTGTGTTTTGAGAGTCAGACCTGGAAGCTTTTCCCATTAACCTGCCAGGGAAGACAACCTCAGACTTCTCTTTTTCTTGGAAACAAAAGGGGTTAAATAAGTGTGGACTGCTCTGCAGGTTGGGTAGATTATCTGCCTTGATTATTGTGAAACTCTAGATTCTTGGCTGCACTAGGACTCGGAGAGCTTGGAGTTGTCATGTGGCCTTGGGCCTGCAGGACCGGAGCAATAGAGAGGCCAGCAGGCAGCAAGGTGGTGCCTTCTCAGGTCAGGGTGAACCATGCACGTCATCTCTAGCAACTGTGTGTATCCCCTGGGGGGTGGAGGGAGGCCAAGACTCTGCCCGTGGGTGGTTGCTGGCCCTTCCTATGAGACACCAGATCCTCTGCATCCTGAATTTCCCCTGCTTCCTGCTGTAAGGCTGTAAGCTAGGAACTAAGGCCACGTGTGTCTCGTGAGTTGATTACCAGTCTGAATCTGTGAGCTCCAGTGCTGGTGGGGCAGCACCTTACAAATTGCAGTGGGCCAGGCTGTGGCTGAGGTGTTCTTGTCACTGCCTGCGAATGCGTCTCCTCAGTTTTAGCTTTTGATGTTTTCGACTTTTCAACCGAGGTAAGTCCATTGTCGATAATACATGTGTTGAGTTTAACTGCTGATTAAGGTGGCTTCAAAAAGCTTACACTGTGATTCGGCATTGAAACAAAACGTTACTGTTTACATGGTTACACAGAGAGTCAAGGGAAGAGAGCATGGGGTATAAGTTTGATGTTGATAAAGCAAATATTTGTTGATGGAGGAATGACGCAATTTCAGTTTTGTTTTGTTTGTTTGTTTTTTGCAAAGTAGCAGCCAAGTGCTTTTAATAAAGAAAAGATACCCACAAGTACATAAAGCTAGATTTGTGTTTTGTTATTGAGATATGTGTAAAAGGATTGCCTATCACATGTCAAGGAACTAAACTGAAGGCAAGAGAAATTGCCTAATCTCTCGGTGTAGAGGAAGAAATTCAAAGCTGTGAGAGGCTGGTGGAACCAATTCTTCTATCCCGTGGGACTGTCATTAGGCCATTATGTCATAGTTAATGGGCAGCATTTTTTTCTTAGTGGTACACAAAGTTATGGTGTTTTGTAAAATCAATGGCGTCTTAGATTTGAAGAAATATGGCAAAGTGGCAAAGAGGGGACAGGGACCTAAGTCTGCTGTCTCTCAAGTGGTCATTTTCCCCTCTTACGCCAAGGTGCACATTCTCCGACCTAGGTGTTGGCTGACCCCAGCTTCCACACTGGTGACATAGGTCACTTGAGTGACCCAGAGAGGGGGTGCCTCCTTAAATTTGGCAGCCCAGCTGCTTTGCTTCCCTGACTCTAGTCCCACCCTGGTTTAAATCTTTGAAAGAGTTTTCAAAGTTTTCCCTAGAGGACTAAGAAAACTAAATTGAAGTACACATGGCTGAAACAGTAACTATCTACCATGTGTAGCCCGCCAATATCCTCCGTTGTCAATGTTACTCCTCTTGATGAGATCTGTGGAGAGCCTTACTAAGAAAGCGGCTGGGGCATTGCTAGTAATTGACTGAGTAAATGTGCTAACACTCCGTGAGAGCTTTACTGTTGTACCTGTGTTAGGAGGCCACGGGTGATTAAAGAATAGGAAAACAAATAACTTCTCTAACTTTTTAGGATCTTTTTTCTAGTTACAATTAACATTTTAAAAAGGAAATTCAAGACCATCTTTCCTGCAATGGAATGGAATATAAAGAGAAAAATTAAATTCTTTGGGTATCTTTCATCAAATCCCCTCTGTTTTGAAAACAGCACAAAAAGACCCTATTAGTAAGCCAAGAGTGCTTTAGAAAGTTGAGGCATTCTGGATCCTGTCCTGGCTGGTAATGGAATGAAATTAGCCAGATTGAGATAAATAATATTGACACAGGGTTTACTATGAGCATCTTTGTCAAGCAGTTCATTGAACAGCATTTCTGCCTGAAAAGTACCATTTTGCAGTACACATTTTCATGTCTCAAAGAGGAATAACTCAGTTTTATCCCAGAATAACTTTTTTTTGATGAGAAAGATTGGCCCTGAGCTAACATCCATTGCCAATCTTCCTCTTTTTGCTTGAGGAAGATTGTCACTGAGCTAACATCTGTGCCAGTCTTCCTCTACTTTGGATGTGGGATGCCACCACAGCGTGGCTTGATGGACGATGTGTAGGTCCACATCTGGGATCTGAACCTGTGAACCCTGGGACACAGAAGTAGAGCACGTGACCTTAACCACTACACCACCCGGCCAGCACCCCTAGAATAGCGTTTTTTGAGGGACACTGGCCACTGAAGTATTTTCACCATCTGTCTTTTATTGAGCAGGCTTCTACTTTTAAGGAAGGGCATTTCAGATC